TCTTTTAGAATGTCATCTTCAAGGTAATTACACCATGTTTACTATCAACAGCCAATTTTTTGCGTTGCTTTTAAACATTGACCTTGTTTATATCTTGTCATAATGTATATTGCGTATTTTTTATATTATTGATATGTTAATTGCGACTGAAGAAGACTCCAGGTAGAGTCAAAATATTTTGCGTATTTTTTATATTATTTCATGTAAAGCGTTGATCTCATTAAATCATTATATTATTATAGTAATATCTTTTTTGGCTTGATGTGACCTTTTTTATTTGCTAATTTGTATTTACATTACGAGGGTTTCTGTTAAGTTATTACATTTTTCTTTGCAGCCCCGGATNGACTACTGAGTTGTTTCAATGCGTGCATGCAGGGACGCTTTCCGAACTGCTGGAAGATTGCGCGCCTGTATTAATACCAAATATGGGCAAACAACCTGGGATGACGTCGTCGTACCGACCACTCTGTTTGCTAAACGATGTTAGTAAGATGTTCGAGCGCATTATTGCGCAAAGAGTAATGGCGCATGTGGATAAACGGGGTGGTTTTTTGGTAAGACAGTTTGGTTTCTGAAAAGGAAAATCTACCANCGATGCGGTAATAGCCGTGAGAAATTTTGCGTCTCTTTTTACGGCAAATAAAAGAGTTTGTATGGCTGTCTTGCTTGACATTAAGAACGCCTTTAACTCTCTTCCATGACCGGTGATACGGGATGCAGTTGTGATATGGAAACTGCCTGGATACATTAAATGTATCATTACAGATTATTTAAAGTCTAGGTATATCACGTATACAGGTTCTCATGGAAGGATTTATATGAGAAAAGTCACCAGTGGAGTTCTCCAGGGATCGGTGCTGGGCCCCCTCTTGTAGAACCTTACGACCAGGTTCTAAAGGGTTNAGGTTCCCCCGACATGCCGCGTCTTTTGCTATGCAGATGACACGCTGGTGGCGGCGGATGGAGCTGATATTAATCGGGCGGTCCTGGCTTCCACCGAGGGGCTTAGAATTGTTAACAGGGTCATATCCGTGATAGGGTTGAGTATCGCACCTGAAAAAACGGAAGGTATCGTTTTTTGCCATTGTAGAGCGAAAACAAGGCCTGCTTCTGTAGACGTGAATGGAGTTAGTGTCATGACAAGGATTTCCATTAAATATCTTGGTTTTATACTGGACGATAAATGGTCTTTTAAAGAACACTTTATAAGTATGACCAATAAAAGCCAAAAAATGGTGATGACGTTTTCGCGCATTATGCCCAATTTGGGTGGTCCGATGGAAGNAAGGCGGCGGCTCTCCTTGTACGTGTTTCAGGCGGTTGTCCTGTATGAGGCTCCCACGTGGGCTAGCGAGCTTGTTAAAACCAAAAGGGCGATAGCACGATGTCGTGCTGCTCAGAAATTAATCGCGAACCGAGTAATAAGCGGTTATCGCACCATGTCAGCTGATGTTGCCCAACTATTAGCCAGGGCTTCCCTTTTGGAGCTGCTTGCAGAGGAGCAAACAGCAGTTTTTCAANGAGAATTTGTGCGGGCGATGACTTGAGCTATGCGAGTCTGAANAGCNAAGAAGCCATGAAAATTAGAAATAAATGGTTTGAGCAGTTTTGCGCTAATCAGCAACCTGGTAAAATTACCAAAAAAGCTGTCCTTCCAGTATTCGAGCGGTGGGTGATGAGGAAGCATGGGTTCATGTCGTTCCATTTTACTCAAATGCTCACTGGGCACGGATGTTTCAACGCATTTCTATATCGGATTGGTAAGGTTGCCTCAGATCGATATGCTCATTGTGGGTTGGCAAGTGACACACTTTTGCATACTTGGAAAGAATGTGGAAGCTGGGCGGAAGAACGCGAGCTGTTACGACTGAAACTTGAACGAGACAGAGTTTCAATGAAAGCTGCAGTTAAAGCGATGGTGTCTGGACCTGAACAATGGAAGGCGGTAGTACGTTTTGCTGACCAAATTCTTCTGCAGAAGGAATAAGCGGAAAGAGAAAAGCAAGGTCAAACGGGACCTGCAAGAAGAAAAACAAGACATGATAGGAGGACTGCCCAGGCGAGTTTGCCAGTGGCTGATGTATNAAAGCTTGATATATGTAATCCAAGAAGACTGTGTAATTTATTGTTACGTCCTGGAGACTCCACGGTCCCCTTTTTTTCTGCGACGCGACGCGCCAGCGCATAGCAACCCTTTTTTTGGAGTCAATAATAATAAATAATTCAAACGGGTCTCCTATTGTTTGGAAACTTAAAACTCCAGACGATAGGAGAACAAACGAAAACTATATCGGCGCCCGGAAAGATAAACTGCGCCTAGCAATAACACAAAATTTTAGATAACTATT